TTGTAAAATTACCTAGGTAACCCAAAATATCCAGCAAAGTGCTATACAGAGCGATCTGTGCTCCCAGTGCCCTACTATTAATAAAATTTTAATAACATTATTATTATTCTGTCTCATAAAACAAACCGAGATAACCAGAAACTTGTGCTCCTACTTACGACTTTGGTCACACGTCACAGACATGCAGCATGCATATATTTATATATACATACATCTAGGTTTTCCTACTTTTCTAAATAGCTCTTGTTCTTCCTTTATTTCTTCTATTTGGTCCATGGGGAAGTGAAAAGAATCTTTCCCGTAAGCCATGCGTGTCGTATTGAGGCGAATAAAATGCCCGAGCAATGGCTGGTAACCCCTCTCCGTGTAAAGACATTTACTGAAATACAATGAGAAGAAAAAAACTTTATAACACTGGTGATGCTTAAAATGTGCGGGATGTAGTGCGATGACAAAAACAGATGAATGCTGATGTTATATGAAAAGAAGTTGGATGTCCTGGCCCTAGCAGAAACAAAGCTGAAGGGCAGGAATTTCAGTGGGGGGAAAATAAATGGATTAAATCTTGGAGTATCGGAAGAGTTAGAGCAAAGGAAGGGTAGTCAGTAATGTATAAATGATCAGTTAAGGAAGGAGAAAAGGAGAATATAAATGAGTAAATTCAAGAATATGTTGGATTAAAGTAAGGTTGGATCGAATAAGTGGGTCATAATAAGCGTGTATGCACCGGAGGAAGAGAGGAATGCAAGAGAGAGAGAGAGATTTGGGAGAATGTTTAATGAATTTATAGGTGCCTTTGAACCATGAGAAGAGTAATTGTGGTAGGGGACCTAATGCTATAGTAGGAGAAACTTTTAGAGATGTGTGGTAGGTAAGTTTGGGTGCCATGTGTAAATGATAAGGGTAGCCCTTTGATTGAGACTTTTGTATAGAAAGTGGTTTAGTTATAAGTAATACATATTTTAGGAAAAAAGAGGATAAATAATATACAAATGATGATGTAGGGCGAAGGACAGTAGTGAGTGTTGATATGGTATTGGTAGATAAAATACTGTTTAGTAGACTTCAGGATGTACAATGTTTATAAGGGGCCACAGATATATCATATCACTTTCTAGTTTGTAGCTACACTGAGAGTAAAAGGAGATGTGAACAAGGAGAATAGAAGCGATCAGGGAAGAGATAGGTGAAAGGATTTAAAAACCTAAAGAGAGGCAGTTAGGTATATAGAACAGCTATTGAGGATAGATGGCTAATGAAGCATAGGCAATGGGGGACGAAGAGGTATGGGGTAGGTTAAAAAATGTAGTGTTAGAGTGGTTCATCAGAAGTTTGTGGTTACAGGAAAGGTGGTGCAGGAAGAGAGAGCGATTGAGGAATGATGATGTAAAGAGAGTAGTAAGGGAGAAAAAGTTAGCATATGAGAAGTTTTTTAACACAAGTAAAGTGATGCCAGGAGTGAAGAGTATTTGAGAAAAAGAAGAGGTAAGAGAGTGGTGAAGCAAATGTAAAAGAGACAAATTGGAGAGAGTGGTGAGATGTTATCAACAAATTTTGTGAAAATAAGAAAAAGTTTTGGAATGAGATTAACAACGGGGTTTAAGAAAGCCTAGAGAACAAATGGATTTTTTTTTGTTTATTCAACAAGTTGGTCGTCTCCGTGGAATCTCCCACCGAGGCAGTGTGACCCAAAAAGAAAGAAAATCCCCAAAACGAAAATTCTCTTTCATCATCATTCAACCTTTCATTCACCACACACACACATTATCACGGCTTTTGCAGAGGAGTGCTCAAATACAACAGTTAGAAGCATATACGGATAAAAACAACATAAATCCCTCCAAACCGCCACTATCCCAAACCCCTCCTTTAAAGATGCAGGCCTATTGTACTTCCCCATTTTCCAGGGACTCAAGTCCGACTATAAGAAAAATAATCGGTTTTCCTGAATCCCTTCACTAATATTACCCTGCTCACACTCCAACAATCGTCAGGTTCCAAGTATCATTCGTCTCCATTTCACTCAATTGGATTGTCAGTTAAAAATAGGAGAGGAGAGTTATTAAATGATGAGTTAAGAGGTATAGGGAAGATGGAGGGAATATTTTGGAGGAAATTGTATAAATGTTGCTGAATAAGGGAAGGTCTGTGATTTCGGTATAGGGCAAGGAGGAATCACATCTTTGTAGGAGTGAGAAGAAGCCCAGTTGTGAGTGTGGTAGGAGGTTCTTGAGGCATAGGTAAAATGAAAGGGTGTAAGGCAGCCGGGGATTGATGGGATAAAGATTAGAAAAGTGAAAAGGGCAGGAGGGATATAGTTTTGGAGTGGTGGTGCCAATTATTTTAATAAATGTATGGAAGGCGTAAGGTTACCTAGTATTGGGACAGAGAGGCATGCATAGTTCCTTTTATAAAGGCTAAGGGGAATAAAAGAGAGTGCAAAAATATAGGGGAAAGTCTGTTGAGGTATACCTGGGTAAAGTGTATGGTAGAGTTATAATTGAAAGAATAAGAGTACGACGGAGAATATGATAGCAGATGAACTAGGAGCTTTAAGGAAAGGTAGGGGGTGTGTGGACCAGGTGTTTAACAGTGAAACATATAAGTAAACAGTATTTAGATAAGCTATAGAGGGTCTATGTGGCATTTTAATGGATTGAAAAGGCTATGACAGGTGGATAGGGGGGCAATGTTGCAGATGGTTGCAATGTATGGTGTAGAGGTAGGTGACTGAAAGCAGTTGAAGAGTTTTTACGAGGAAGTGAGGCTAAGTTAGAGTATGTAAAGAAAAGGGAAATTTTTTCCCGAGTAAAACTTAGGCCTTAGACAAGGAATGTGTTGATGTCACCGTGGTTGTTTAATATATTTTAAGATGGGTTGTAAGAGAAGTAAATGCGAGGGTGCTTGCAAGAGCGTGGAGTTAAAAGTAAAAGAATCAACACACAAAGTGGGATTTGTCACAGCTGCTCTTTGCTGATGACACTGTGCTCTTGGGAGATTCTGAAGAGAAGTTTGGCAGAGATTGGTGGATTAGAATTTGGTAGGGTGGCAAAGAAGAAAATTAAAGGTGAATACAGGAACAGAGTAAAGGTTATGAAGATAACAAAAAGAATAGGTGATGAAAAATTGGATATCAGATTGTAGGGAGAGAGTATGGAGGATGTGAACGTATTCAGATATTTGGGAGTGGACGTGTCCGGATGGGTCAATGAAAGATGAGGTGAATCCATAGAATTGAGAGGGAAAACGAGTGTGTGGTACACTTAGGAGTCTGTGGAGACAACGAATTTGTTCATGGATGTCATGAAGGAATGTATGAGAGTATAGTTTTAAACCAACCCTCTTATATGGGTGTGAACGTGGGTGATGATTTTGCGCGAAGGAGAAGGCTGGAGGCAGTGGAGATGTCCATGTCAGAGGCAATGTGTGGTGTGAATATGATAGCAGAGAATTCGTATTTTGGAAGTTAGGAGAAGGTGCGGGATTAACCAAAACTGTTGTCCAGAGGGCTGAGGAAGGGTTTTGTTGAGGTGGTTCGGACATGTAGAGAGAATGGAGCGAAACAGTAATGGACTTCAAAGTGTATCAGTCCCTGTAGTGGAAAGGAAGGCGGGGTAGGGGCGTCCTAGAAAGGTTGGAGGGAGGGGGTAAAGGAGGTTTTGTGTGGCGAGGGCTTGGACTTCAGCAGCATGCGTGGCGTTTGATAGTAGTGAATGGAGACAAATGTTTTAATACTTGACGTTCTGTTGGAGTGTGAGCAAAAGTACATTTAGTGAAGGGAATTCCTTCAGGAAACCGGCTGGCCAGACTTGAGTCCAGGAGATGGGTAGTACAGTGCCTGCACTCTGAGGAGGGGTAAATGGTTGCAGATTAAAAAAAAAACTGTAGTGTAAAGCACTCCTTCTGGCAAGACATTATGGATGAATGAGTGGGTGAAAGTGTTTTCTTTACGGGCCACCCCTGCATTGGTGGTCCACCCTGCCTTGGTGGGCCACCCCTGCCTTGGGGGCCCCTGGCCTTGGTGGGGCCACCCTGGCCTTGTGGGCCACACCCTGCCTTGGGGTGGGCCCACCCTGCCTTGGTGGAATCGGCCAGTGTGTTAAAATAAAAAAAATAATAATAAAGCATATTCCTCCCTGCTTCAAGAGACTGAGCTCATGGCGAAACCGTCAGTGGGCGTTCAAAGCCACCTATCCTTTAATGGATAATGTAAGTGTAGTGCTTTACATAATGAAGAAGCATTTCTTTTATTTCATGGAACCATGCTAGGACTAAAAGTAAGCAGGTTAAAACAATAATTGAGAAAAAGAAATTGGAATGCTTTATCAGCAATACGCCACCAAAACAGTACCAATCAGGTTTGGTGTGGCGACCCTGGAAATTTGAAATTATGCTAGCCAAATTTAGTGCTGCATAACTGAAAGGAACCGAATAACTGATTGCCGTAATTGTGATGGCGGACCTGTATTCTGTTAGGTAGTGTATTTAAAAATAAACAAAGTTAGATTGGGTCTTAGGTTTAAACTTTTATGTGATATAGATTATGAAAACATTTAAATATACAATTTTATAAGGTTCAGTTATTCAGTATTTATTTGGTTTTTGGGTGAAGTAAGTGATCTTTGAGAAGAGACTTGAAGTTGAGAAACAGTAGTGTTTTCTTTTATATATACAGTAATGATTCCAGATTTTAGGGCCTTTTATGTTCATCAAGTTTTTGCATAACATGAGATGGACATGAGGAACATCAAAGAGTGATCTGTGCCTTGTGTTATGGTCATGTGTTCTGTTGAGGTTGGCAAGGAGATGTTTGAGGGGAGGGTTAATATCAGAGTTAAGTGTTCTATGTGCATGTTGCTAATTTTGTGTCCTTGATAAAGTCTCATGAGGAAAAAACTCTATACTAAAGGTCTCTTTTTGTTACACAAACTTTTTTAATTCTTTCCTTCTAAGCTTTATTTTAAGATTATTTTCATAATAGGCAGTAAAAAAGAATGTACCTCTGTGCGCTGCTTCAACTCGTGTTATGAAGGACAAGAGCTGCTGGTCCGATAATGAAGATAATGAGGTTTTTGGAGGTTCCTCCTGGTCACCAGGTCTGAGGTTGATGTTGCGACTCATATACGACAAACCGGTCTTCTCCCGAGCATTACAAATGGCCAGGTGTTGCTCTAATCCGTGTTTCAAGGCAGCAAGAGCTAAAAACTTAAACACGTGTTAAGTAAATACGTAAAAGATGCAGTAAAACACAAGTGATTCGGTATAGTAGTATGTATATAGTAGTACAGTACGGCCCCATTTATATGGCAGGTTCCAGGCTACCATCGTAAAGTGGAAATCGCAGTAAAGTTGAATACCTCTTTTTTCCACTTATAAATGCATACAAATACATACTAGATAACAAGTTTACACTAACATATATTAAGTTAGTAAGTAAGTTTATTCAATATACACAAATGCAGTTAAATAGATTATCAAACATAGCAGCATATGTGTAAAGTACCTGGGATGACCCAAAAAAGTCAGAGAGTGTGACTTATTTCCATTGGGTTAGCAGTAGAATTAGGCATTAAAAAACAATAAAAAAGCAAAATACACATACAGTACACTCATTAGTTACCTTAAAATAATTGTAGTCTTGAATGTAGGGTCAGAGTGATAAACGAAAAAACAAATAATGATAGAGAGAGAATGAGTACACTAGAGAGACACTGTGAGTTACGTAAACAAACTAGGCGAACGTGAGTTTAGTAAACAAAGGTGTGACACGTTTTGGTTTGTGTACAAGAGTTACAATGTGTACAAGTGTCTCTACATTGATACGGTAGAATAAATAAAGAGGAACACTCCCATTCTCATGTAACACCATTTTTTAGAAGAAATGACGCTCTGAGTGAAGGCACTACGAAAAGTTTAATTTTCTATACAGGTACCCCCATAACACAATTTTCCTCTTCATTTGGACTATAGAAAACGTTATTTCTTGCCAACGCTTGTACAAGTTGTCCTGGCGCCCCATCTCATATTTATGTTTATTTTTCACTGTGGGGTGTATTTAAAATCTTTATATGTTATGTATCGTGTTGTTATAAACTTTTAAAATAAATCATAGCTGGATTAATAAAAAAGTGTATATTAAAGTAATATACTAATTTAATAAGACTCTCGTGAATATTATAATCATTAACTAATATTGGCGTCCTCGTATAAAGGTTGTCTGGCTCCCACATCTACTTTATGTTATTTTATTCTACTGTGGAGTGTATTTATCATCTTTATATGTTATAAATCATGTTTATTATATAATTTTTGAACAAGTATAGATTAACGAAAATTGATGTATACAGGGACCCCTCGCCTTAACGAGGCCTGTGTTTACGTTAAATCTGCCATACGATACAGTTGAATGCAAAAATTTGCCGGTCGCCTCACGCGATTCCGTCCGGACGCGTCCCATGTGTGGTCCTCAGCGCCAGTGTTTACTAGCCAGCCCAGTGGCGGTCACATCCACGCATACATTTCAGTACATTTCACACTTATCCCAGTGTTTTTTGTGCTTGTAACTGCAAAATAATTCACCATGGGCCCCAAGAAACTTCTAGTGCCAACCTGTGGTAAAAAGGGTGAAAATTAGTATGGAAATTAAGAAAGAGTGTGAAGGGATTGGGCTAACCCTGAGAAGCCTATGCCAGTTGTGAAACCATTGTGCTACTTCAAAGATAGAAAGTGTGCAAAGTGGTTGAACAGCAAACCTTTATGGATGAAAAAAGACCCTGACACAGGAACTGCAAGCCGTGTTGGCAACCTGTAACAATGACAATGTTAATTGCCCATTTTAGCCAAATCTTAAAGGAACAGAGGTACAGACCTCTATGGATAGATTTTGTTAATGTGGCGACCGAGGTCCAGTGACTCTCAAGCTGGTCCTAGTGCATTAAAAAGAAGGAGTAACCCAGAAAAGGACTAGCTACCTCAAATCCTAATGGAAGGGATTCCCTCTAAACAATAACTTCCACACTTTCCCCTCCCTCACAATCCCATCAATCATCATCAGAATCTTCAATAAAGGTAAGTTTCATGTATTCTTTTCTTAGTAGAGTATAATTGTGCATGTCTTCTTCAAGTTTGTGTGTATTTTAAATTAATATTCATTGGTAAATTTTTTTTTTTCATACTTTGGGGGTGTCTTGCAAGGATTAATTTGATTTCCATTATTTCTTATGGGGAAAATTAATTCGCCTTACGATAATTTCGGCTTACGATGACTCTCAGGAATTGATTAATATCGTAAGGCGGAGGTTCCACTGTATTAACGTAACTACAACATTTTTTTTTTATGTTATTTAGACTCAATGATTATTATTGAGTATTTATTATCATTACTAATATGGGCATCTCGAATACAAACACTCTATTGATTTTAATGCATACCTGCAGCTAGCACAGTGTAAGTTTATTTAGGTACAGGTATACATAAGTATAATTTATCAGAGTACAGTGTATATATAAATTCTAGGTAGTAGGTTGGTAGACCAGCAACTGCCCAGGGAGGTACTACTGTCCTGCCTGCCAAAGTGAGTGTAAAAGGAAACCTGTAATGTTTTACATGATGGAAGGATTGCTGGTGTCCTTTTTTTCTTCTCCATAAGCATGCTAGATTTTTCCCAGTGTATATCATCTTTGATTCTACTTCTACTTATACTTAGGTCATACTACACATACATGTACAAGCATAAAGTATACATACATTACCCCTCTGGGTTTTTCTTCTATTTTCTTTCTAGTTTCTTGTTCTTGTTTATTTCCTGTTATCTCCATGGGAAGTGGAACAGAATTCTTTCTTCCGTAAGCCATGCGTGTTGTAAGATGCAAGTGAAATGCCAGATCAAAGGGCTAGTAACCCTTCTCCTGTAATATTACGTAAAATTTAAAAAAGAGAGAACTTTTGTTTTTTCTTTTTGGGCCCCCAGCCTTGGTGGGATATGGCTGGATTGTTTGAACAAAAAAAAAAAAAACCATGAAATAATTGTTTTAAAAACACTTGAAATTTTCCCAACACAATGGTGAACTTGTGCTTACGGAGCTCATGGAGAAATCTAAACAGGGTGGGGTTGCGCGGTGACCGTATTAGAAAGTCCGTAGGGGTATTCCGTATAGAGAGTTTAGGTCAAAAATTGAACTGACTGTATTAGTGGAATGCCATAAAAGCAAAATGGCCATAAAAGTGGGGCCTATTGTATGTATTATACGCATTAATAGCAAGTGCTGGATAACCATGGACCGAAAATTTGGAACTAATACATAAAAATGCCATAACCCACAAACTACTTCCATTTCAAATACACACAGAAAAGAATAATGAATAAAGAACCAAGATAAAATGAAAAAAAAAAACCTGAAAAAACCAATATTAAACGAAAATTATGTTAATGTGTATTCAGAATGGTCAGAACCTAACCTTTTACCTAAACTGCACAAAGCCAAATTACAAGTGAATGAAAAAATGCATGATCAAGATCAATGATAAAAACAGATGACAAAAATAATTGTAGAATAGTGTATTATAAAAGAAAAACTTTAAAAACCTTTCGAGTGGGAAATAATACAGTACTAAGTTATAAAAAAAAACTACCACAATACAATATTTATTTCTTATGCAGTACGATAATAATGTTTTTTTTAAAGTTATCTCCCTATAAAGCTTGAGTTTCCTTTTTATCCCTTTCACAGGGTCCGTCCCGTAGATCTACGGCGTAACGTTCAGGGTCCAAACCGTAGATCGCACGCCATGAGATCACTCTACTCTGATAGAACTGTGAGTGGTATACATTTGGGCCTAGATTATGAGAGAATACATCTAGTGGCATGTGTGCACCACATAAAACAGATCCAGCAGCACACTGTGTATAATGAGAGAAAAAAAAATGGAAAATCATGATTTTTTCGGATTAAAACAGCAACTTTGCAGTGTTTTTTTCGTAGTTTTTTATAGTTGTATTTGCGATTTCTTGGTCTCATTTGATAGAATGGAGACATATTACAGAAATAGAGATGATTTTGATTGGTTTAGCACTGGAAATGGCTTGAAACTGAGCTCCAAAGTAGCAGAAATGTACAATTTTTGCCCGATATTTCAAGATTTTAACATACGACCTCATCACGTCTTAATACTCATCAGATGGTGGGTCTAATAATAACATTCACAAATAGGTGATGATATTTATAACAATTATAACAGTATTGCATAACAGTAAATCTTTTTTTTTTTGGTGTGAAGAAAAATTCATTATGTGAAAAAAAAATCAAAATAGAATTTTTTTGTAAAGCCTCAAAACATAACTAATGAACTAGAAAAGTTAGTTATTGCCAAGAATGCCTACCTGATTCCATTCTGGACCCTATTTTGAAATTGGCGAATATTTACTTGTGTTAAAATGGCCAAATTAACAATTTCCGATCACTTTTATTTGTTTGTTGAAACAGTGACTTGCGATTTCTGTGACTCAATCGATAGAATAGAAGTAATACTAAGGAAAATAGCTAATAATATTGTTGATTGGAATAATGTAATTGCCTAAAATGGGAGTCAAAGTCCCGCAAAAAATCGGCCAATTCGTAAATATCGTTGACACATAAAATTCGCGAGAGCATAAATTTCGTCAATTATCTACCCACCAAATTTCGTACTTTTTGTGTTATCCCTTCACAAAAAGATTCTCTACGAGTTCATAAGAAAAAATATCAAATTTTTTTTTTGTAACTCTTGGACACTGGGTGCGTGACTCCAGATTTGGGCTTGGACCCTGAAGGTTAAGATTTAGAAATATCAATGATATCCTGGTACATGGTCCAAAATCCCTTCAAGACAAAAAAAAAAACACTTCCTGCTGGCAAAACATTAGAAGAGGAAATAATAAAATGTTCAAAACTGAAATAGTTTACTTCTTTACAGGAAAGGAACATTTTGATGCACCGCGTGCAAATAAAAAATATAGGTGTCATTTTCCAAATATATACGTCTAAGAACAGTCATGAGCTTTAAGTGGCAACAAATCACATTCATTGTTAGTTGTGAAGGCTAACATAAGTAACATTAGATGATTATTATTTTTTTAAACCACTGGCTGCCCTTACCAAGGTACGGTAACTACAAAAATAGGAAATGCATTCACCATCAGTCACTTAACCAGCTGTCTTTTTGCCAT